GGATATATTAATAAACAAAGATATAGTGGACGGCCCAAATGCAATTCGAAAACGAATTCATCATTTTACCTTTTTATCATGTTAACCCCGATTTTCCCCCCGATTTTTTTTCGTAAACTCCCGATTTTCTCCCGATTATCCTAGTCAATCACGATTTTCTCCCGATAATTTAAAACTCCCGACTTCACCTGATTTTTAAACGAAAATATCCAGATTTTTATATTTTTTACTTGACAGGTATGTATTCATATCATTCACATTCTATCAAATACAATTATCATGCAATGGAGTGCATATTTAATGAACACATTCTTCATCCCACAATGGCAAGTTTTATTAGATCGTCGGTGAATGTTTTTATACATCCTGGACTGCTAATACGGTCATAATTTCCAGTACACAAGGGAAACACTCGGAGACCAAAAAGTATCGGACCTTTCTCATGCATGTAACCAGAGTTATTATTTTTAAAGGCTTGTTCTAGAATCTTTAACTGTTAAATCTTTAACATTGTCCAAAGAAACTGCTGCAGGGGCTTATGCATTATCATGGGCTTTCAACGATTGAAAGCCCATGGTATTACATGGTAATGTTAATTTTGTTCTTTTTTATCCTGCTTGAGAGTTTTCTACAGAGTAGGATAGTTATTTCCAATATTAGTTCCAGGAACTCTCCAACTGTACACAAAGAGAGTCCTATGAATAATCCCATTGTTCCACCAATGTTGCTCAACAAGCCACTTATCTGGAATCGGAAAGCAGATTTTCATGATATTCCCGGGTTTTATGTTTTTATATGTATTTCGTTTAGTGTAACATCATCCGGGTTTCTATATGGCAGTTTAACAATGTCAAATATCACTCATGTGGAATAGGAATTCATGTAGTTTGATAAGGTTAATGTTTCGCACAGGGCTTTGTCGGGCTGACATTTTCACTGACTAGGCGGCCTATGATATCCTCGGTAATACGCTTGGAAAAGCGTATCTTGATCGTATAGTACATTTTAACTCAAAAACATCGATAAAAGTCATTACTAGTATTCCAATTGCATTTTAGGTATGTAAACCTTTGGCCCTTGGTCCAATATTTCACAATATTGCCTTTTTGAAATGAGACAATTAGACAGCTGATAACACGAACTGTCGTAAAATAAATTATTTACCGTGTACACTGGTATTTCTTTCACTGTTTCCTCGTTGAAATCTTCAAAGTAGATATGCACCCTTAGTATGTTATCTCTATAAAAAAAAGCATCATTTAATAAACCTTTGAAAAATTTAACATTATATGTATTATCTATAATACCCCTTCAGCTACATTATTTTATTAGGCCCACTATACTTAATTTTGAAGAAAAAAATCATTGAAACATGTTACTCACACACTAGCTCAAATATGAAACAACGTTTGATTTGCTTTTAAAAAAACTATCATAGAAAAAGCATTTTACGTTCAGAGATCATTAGACATGTTAAACAAAGTGCATGTTTTAAATTTCTGTTGATTTAAAAGATGGCGACACTTCTATAAAAATGAATGTTTCATGTAATACAAACAACTTTGCCATCTTTCAATGACATTGATAAAAAAATTGATATATGAAGCTTGACAGATCGAAAATATTTTTAGATAATTTATTGTATGCTTTGAGGTGGTCAGTTTGAGCTGTTGTTGGCGTCAAATGAAAGATAAGGTTCTCATGAAATTCAAATATAAGTCTATTTTGCCCAAATACGTTAAAATACGCAAAGGGGCCTTTAAGGAGTAAATTACAAAGGAAGCAGATCGGATGCAAAATTACAAACTTTTCACCTTATATTATTTTTTCTTACTTGATATTTTCTAGCGTAATGTCGTCCCTATGTTTCAGTCGTTCCAGCAAATAGTAATCATGGTGATGATTTGGCCAGGCCGAAATAGATGTCGAGGTATGATATTTAGCTTCTCTGGAAGTAGAACCATATATTATTTATGCCGATTCCCGGCGTACACGGTGGTGGAGGGGGCGTTGCATGCGACTGTGTAGCCCCCTTTAAGCTAATTTTAATTTTCTCAGGAGATTTTGTTCATGGTGCTGGGGAAATGGAGCCTTCGAGAAACGAATGACTATGTGCTCTAGCGAAAGAGATAGATGAATAAGCTAGAATTCGTATACAAGTTATCCTGATGTTTCTGTGTTTTTTATATAGGCACACCCTTATCGGAAAAATCCTTGATACAACCCAGGATATGATTGACAATTGTATTTACATGCTAAGCATTGTGAAAAGGCACGGGTATCGCGTGAAAATACATTTTAAACAGATAAAAAGATGGCAGCAAAGTATGTCAGACATGTAAACACTTAACCAGATAGGATACACTGACATATTTTTAGAGAAATACAATTACAATTACGTTAACACGCACAATAAAAAAGAATTGACATAATGCCGTGGTCACATTTGCTCCGATATACAGTATCGGGCCGGCAATCAGTCGATGTGCATCTTTGTTCACTGAATGCTATTTTGAATGAAATACTCAACGACCGGGCGCCGTTGTTGAAGATCGGAGCAAATGTGACCCCAGCGGTATGGGACATTTCAAGAGACAGCTCAACAAATAGCATTGGCAATTTTCTTTTTTGCAGTTCATTACAATCAGCAGAACTAGAGGTATATTATCACTCAATAAAAACAGGTTTTAGCAATGAAAACCTATTTAAATTGCATTTTAAACATGTATTTCAAATAATTGTTCAGTTTAAAACATAACACAAATTGCTACATAGCACAATGTGCATTATGTGCTAACGTCCTCAATTGTACAGCGATTCGGCGGTCAGCGTCTGTAACAACTGGCAGGTGGTGATATTTTACCTGTTAATGTAGTTTTAGTGGTAATTATACTTAAAAAACAGTACCTGCATTTTGCCGGACATATACAGCCAAGTTTTCCAGCGTTGTAGGCATAATAAACTTTCTGACGACACAACTCTACAATCATAAAACATCACTATTGCTATTACATTAAAAATAGGAGGCAACACTGCACGATAATGATCCCAAAATAGAAAAACAAAAATTAATCGTATTTAAATGAACAAAGGGACGGTCACGCTTTTAAAGTTTTGATTTGGTGACACAACGGACTTGAAATATTAACATCGTATACGTTACCTTCAGTTCTATTGAAGAAGCTACATCTATGTTTGTTCGAGTCAACTATTCTATCGAAGCATTTACACCTTTCAAAAAGCCGTGCCTCCAGACATTTAAGCATGCAGCCCTAGAAATTAAACAAGTGTTAACCAAAGTGTGAGCCAAACCGTCAATTTTCTCATTTCCAATCTTCGATATTTATTTTAAATTGTCACCCGTAATACAAATAATAGGGCAATCTATGTTATAATGAAGGGAATGGTACCGAACTGAACACAATGTCGTCATATAATATGACGTTACGTCAAATAGCATACCAACCGCGATATTTAGTAGAAAAGATAATTGACTTACAAGCACCGTGTAATCCCCACGGTTAATCTTTGTGGCAGATTTATACCCATCCACGCACTTTGAGGGATATGGATAACGCTGGCGTTCGTATTTTTTCTGCAAAAAGATGCACACATTAGGTGATTATATTGTTGTTTTTGGGAATGGATGGGATACAACCTAAAAATTGTCCCAGTGTGATTTTCCAGGAAACTCGTTAGATGGAAAGTCATGTTCAGTGATTTGTTGGAAAGTGCCTTTATTAACAGCGGAAACAGATAAATTGGATAATTTCATTATGCGTTTTCTTTAACAAATATTACCTTAAAACGTTGCAGCCTTGTAAATGCATGTATAGTTTTAATACATCAATAAATTACTCTAAATAGATTGATTCATTTTCATTAAACTTACTTGGCGCGTTCGGATGAGCATCTCGCTGCCAACAGACACGGTTAAACCCTCGCTTTCAGGGTACGAAACTACGGCGTTTTCATGCACGGACACCCTAACTCCGTATGTTTGGGAAAAAAGTCCAGTATATTCGTTTCTTTCGACGTTCAGCGTCAGTCTAAGGCCTGAAACATTTAACTCTTAATTGTATTCTATTGAAGAAGTGTTACATGTACTCGAGACACATATACATTATGGTAATGTTTATTTATTTTCTTAAACAACATTCGTGAAATACCATAACGGGATCCAAAATTGGTTGTTACAAGGGGTCTTTCTCCATTCGGTTTGTTAATCGCACTATTCCAGGTGTAGCACTTGCCATAATACTTGTTGTAAGTCACCAACCAATGATCACTGCTCCTTTAAACAAATGAATAAGAAATGAATAAATTGATATATCAACCAAATAGTGTGCATCTATGCAGACAGAGATGGGTGTGGAGTTCACGATGAGCTGAGAGTAATTACAAAATATGTCTACACGAAAATTATAATATAAAATATGTTTTCAACAATCAACAAGAGTAAAATGAATGTTGTATAACATACTGTATCTGTACATTCGAAGTATTTAGTTGAGAAATCAACACAAAGTGCTCATTACTATGGGCTAACAATATATATTTTCAGTAGTTTCCTTCCATCTGATTCCAGAGGCTAGCTACACAATGAACATTTTCCTCAATCGAATTTATTTAATACTCACATATTACACAGCCAATATAATTCGACGTCGATTCAACGTTGATAAAATTCGACGTCGAATCGACGTCGATTCGGCGCTGTTTCGACGCTGAATTATGTTGGTGTCGAATCGACACTGAATTTCGACGTCGTTTCGGCGCCTGCTACTTTCGACGTCGACTCGACGTCGAATTTCGGTGCCGATTCGACGTTGAAATCCGACGCTAAAACGACGTCGAATTTAGTGTCGAATTAGTGTCGAAACGACGTCGAAACGACACTGAAATTACTTATGATTTTTTCTTCTTATCATTTGTGAATTCTCTCCTATGAATTGTTTTTACTAATGTAGCAATGCCAAATATCTTTCATAATTTCATAAATTACGGCTTATTGATTGATTCTCTGGTTTATTTTGGTAAATATTATATCCCGAAAATGAATTTATTTCGTGATAAGAGGGTTTTAAAAGATTTTCTGAGTGCAAAATTCTATTTAGGAAATGTTAAAACTTTTATTATTTCACCCGGTTTATATATGAAACAGTAATAAACAAAATAATAATGATCAATTGTAATCGATGTGTATTTGTTAATCACATAAATCCGAATATAGATTATATACAACATATACACGATATACATAGTTTAGATCTTTATAAAAGCATTCCATTGACAGTTTCTTTCTAATAACCACATGCATTTTTACATTTTTGCTGTTTTAGCAAGAACAACCGGGACAGAAAAACAAGAGAGTACTCTGAACATCACAATTACTGTGGAATATCAGTAATCACCTGTGGGTATTTTAGAGAGATTTCGTTATGCCCTTATTGCGTCTTCATAAATCCCTTTTGTTCATAACTTATGATATAAAGTTTTTGCTCTCTACGTCATCATTTGTCCAACAGCTCTATTCATCCTTAAGGAGCTATTGTTCCTTAATTTAAATTCACTCATACGTATAGGTACACTGTAGGCTCAGTTATGCTTTCACTTATGAAATCTCTCTAATCATGTATTCTCTACAATTTAATACAATCTCCAGTTGGAGAAACGTTGACAATGTTTAGCCAAGTTAAGCTGTTTATTTCTAGATAAGTTTTTATTGTTATGTGTTATGTTTCACTTCCGAAGACGTCACCAAATGATATAAGGTACGTAAAAATAACACATCAAATCAACAAATAAATGCTCTACGTACATCTATATAGGGATCCCATGATTGATCAAATTATGCAAATAATATTTGATGTGTATCAAATTTTACATCCCTGATATATCACGATTTGTTATTATTAAATATTTCTAGAATTTTTCATCATTCTGTGTTTTAATTTAAGTATTTTTCCCTTTTTAGATCATTTTGAAAAGACATCACATATCATGCTATTAGCCAATCTATCTAAATCATTAGTTCAAATTGTGGTAGGCCTACATGAAGCATATTAAAAAGCCATTGTTGGATCCCTATTGGTATACGTTCATATGTATTATATAAAAAAAATTGTAAAATATAGGTAATTAAATAATGCTAAGTTGCAAAACACTTGCCATAATTAATTGTAATTACAATAACATATGTGCTATATAAGAGAATAACCACAGTGAGTATTGTCATTAACAACATGTTAATGCATTTTCAGTTCTCAAGATACATTGGAAAATTCATCAATTACATCATGAAAGGCTATGTACAGATGTATGGTAGTGGGTTTACACAGAGCAACGATATGAACTGACGGATGAAGAAACGGATAACAGTTGCTACAAATCCGATGCTCCGAATTGAGGGCCCAAGTCCCTGAGCATCATTTAGACTACTTTGTACGCTGACTAATAGAAATAATGCAACAACTTAAACCTAGAAATGACAGGCAACATATAAAATTAACTTGCTACAGATCTGATGTTCAGAGTTGAGGGTCTACGTCTCTGATAATCAATTAAAATTATCTTCACGCTGAATAATAGAAAGAGCCACGTTGGTACTTATTCTACTTTCGTATTAATTTTAACTATGTGTATATATGCTTACATACTAGCATATGGAAAATGAAAATGACTTATTTGGATAAAGTATAAAGTTCATCAAAATATCATATATTAGTACATAATTGTCTTTGAATTGCTTTATCAACCCAGTAGTATATCATTTTGACAGAGTAATCTTGATCACCTGAATAGACACAGTAAAACTGAACAATAATTGTCCATTTGAAGTCACTCTCTCACTACACTCAAGCTATGAAAACTAACTTGGCCCAACATATTGACAGATGTACATGGAACAGAAGAAGCTGAAATTATTCTTGTTTTGTTCTTCTTTTATGTTTATCAGCTGCTTTATGAACTACCTATATTTATCCTACATGGCTTTAAAATCGTTAATGTAGATAATGGAGGTTCGGTGTTTCACTTTCAAATTCTTCACTTCCACTTCTTGCTGCTCTAACTTTGTAGTTGAAGTGAATGTCCCAACTGTGCATCCATTTAGATCACATGCGCATAATGTGTGGATTTTTTTAATGTTATTTGGCATGGTCAATTTCTCGTTTCTCCCGAGGATGAATTTGTCCACTCCTAAGGTTTGTGAAACTCCTCTTGAAATAACTTCACGGATCTCAATTGTTTCGTCCTCACCGGACTTCAATCCTCTTATGAAAACCTTAAAGTACAAGCATTTACTAAATATCATACCACCACACTGATTTAATTCCTGCTATAATTGAAAACTGATCACAATATACCACCCAAGGGTTCGATAAAAAACGCAACAATTGAGCATGACATTTTCAAACCCTGACAATTGATTAGACAACCCCCATGCATTCGAGGCACTTGGAGGTAAATAATTAATTGAAAAGTATATTTATAAGGTGTTAAATGTTGACAATGAATTTGTGAATTCACAATTAATATACCTTTACTACTCCATTCGCTACAAATGCCTCATTCTTTCTGATGGTATCTCCGTCAGAAGTTTTAATACAGTTGTATGTAGAGGTTTTATTCTGAAATCAAATTTAATAAATAAAGTACACATTGTTGTTGTATTGCTTATTCATCAGAAAGGCTGCCTAAATTACACTTATAAGATTATCCTTACATTCACAATTAGTTTTCCCCTTTCGTCCCTATCTGCCATTGTCAGCTTTGGGAAAGTTTGTTTTTTAACTGTTGTCCCATTAAGGATGTTCCCTGGTCAGATAGGAAAATATTCAATAGTATTTAACTTTTTCTCAAAAATGGTTTTCTGGGATTCTCACGGGCAACAAAGAATATTAAAACTTTAAAAACCATATGTTAGTGTGCTTTTTTCTGAGCAAGAGGCCTCTAAAGTGTCAATATTTGACAAAAGTGGGCGTGGCACTTTCTCATTGAAACCCATGTTAAAAATCAGGTTTTCACCCCAAAACACACTTTTGAATATTTAACTTTTTCTTAAACTCACAGAAACACTTAGTTATGCTATGTACTTCACATTTTGAAAAGAAAAATTAGGGGTTGGTGTTCATCGTTTTCAACTTCGTCCAGGGAACATCCTTAAGCATCTGCAATGCGTCTTGTCCTTGGAGCACGCAATCGCCAGCTTGTCTCCTGAATTGAAAGTATATTCAACATTCAATTTTTTAAAATTATTAATTGGAATTAAACTGAAATTGAATTTATTCGAAAGATACAGTACTCACTAAAATAAGTAGATGTCAAGATTGCAAGCAATCTTACGGAGGCCCGGTAGGCATTTTTGACAATTAGAAGGTCAACTAACATGACTAAAGATTAAATATCAAAGTTAAGATCATATATGAACTCCTGACTTGTAGATGATCTTCAAAAAAAAATTTTCATTTTGAAGCTAGTTGAAATTTAACCTTGAAAAGTTTCGAAATTTGACCTTTTTCGGTTTTTGAACTCTTAAGTCCCAAAGTTTGTACATAATTTTAATAGATAGTCAATTGCTAATATGTGTAGAACCTTTATAATTACCCTAATGTTAAATGATCCTCTATTAGTGGAAACCTCCCATGTGTAACACTTTTTTGAGGTACAACACTTGCTCTCGTTTAGGCTTTACTGTTTAACAAAATTAGCGTATTAATATTGTACTTACCATGAGTTGTTTCTAATGTCTGGCACAAATCCCCCAGTCATCAAATGCTGGAGTAACAGCCTCTTGTATTGGGCTCTGGCGGTGTCTCTCCCTCTTGCCAAGTTGTTTTGTTTAAACAGACCTTCTCTAAAAGTATATAAAAATAAAAAAATATTATCAATGGATATACAAGTACAAGGTTCATAATGAGGAAATTATTTTGCATACTTGAATAAACACCGGGAGTACATCCTGTGCATGCAGCTCGAACTCGAAACTTCGTGATTACGGCGCCATAGCCTAGCTTGAAGTGTTCCACTCTAGCCCACATTCAGCCAACTTAAAATTATTATAATTTAAAATATTGGAGTTATAACATTTTGTGGCTGTAAACATTCTCCGTATTTACCAATATTTACCAAGGAGTTCTTAGTTTCAACAAACCTTATATGTTTGTGGGAGGATTCGAATTTATCCTCATTTAGCATTATCAGTGGCCCATGTTGGTCCTGGTCCTTTGCCTTTAAAGGAAAGCAAATATTATTTGAGTATTCTAAAACTGCAAAATACGTGCAACTGCAACAGTGTAAAAACACAAATTGCGCAAAACTACAAAAGTGATTATTTACACAAATAAAACGCTTCTCTACGACTCAACGCCAGACACTCACCAAAGGACCAGGTATAGTATGACAAGTGATTTTGGACAGTTTTATCTTTCACGAACTGTAAGTAGTTTATGGCCATTAATACAGTGGTTTTTATTAAAACAATATATTTGCTTTCAATTGAAGGCCCTGTGATGATAAAAACATCAATCCAACTCTCTGAAAGTAAGTGGATTACGACCCCACTTATTAAAAATATTAGGCTTAGAGGATCTGTTTTTCTCAATTTAAATATATCAAAAGTATCTTCTTGTTCGATTGATATTTCATAACCCTTCATAATTTCTTGAAAGCTAACATGAATGAGAAATGTCATATTTGAATTGAAAAAGTACTAATGGTAAAAGATGTGACCGTCTAAAATCAATTACCATACTACGCATGGTCCCTTGTTAACCTTCGGTTGCACAGATGCCAAAAACATTTTAATTGTATGGTTATACGACTTAGATCTTTACCATGTGCAAAAGTGCATGCAGTTTTGGAGTAGCTAACACGCTCCCCACTTCCAGAGCAGCACTCACATAGTCTTGTGCAGGTACTTCAATCGGCCCCCCTGCACATAATACTTTGTGAAGCTGAAAGTGGAAAATTCTATATAACAGATACAGATAGACTTTGTACCTCTCTTATATTGACCAACATTGTGTAATAAAAATGCTCAAGTAAAGTTAAAAGTATGTAGAGATTTCGCACATACGTGAAAGTACAACTTGAAAGGGTCATGTCGGACTATTATATTTACTAAAATCAATTTGAAATGCTACCAAATGTAGCAGAACTATTCCCGATAGTAAAGCTCAATCAAATAGAGACCATGAATGCAATGTCATCTGCACATGTAAATTATGCCCATTATAATTAAATGTTTGCTTCCGTGTCCTAGTAGTAGTAGTAGTAGTGTATTATAAACACGATCCCTTAAAGTGACTCATTACGTAGACAAATGGATTTGTTTTAAGTTTTCATGATCAGTAGAAGTTCAGATCTAAGTTTTGAAAGTATACTAGTATATACGTAGATGATAACGTATACAGTTGGATATCCATATAAATCTCCACCTACAAGTGTGTGGACCAATTGACCGCGAGCACTTTTTAAAATTAATCTGCTTTAACTATCAATTTAAAACACCAAGTGGTTGGACCAACCAAACCAGTAGGTTTTAGCAATTTATGGAACGACTCATTCAGTAGATCAACAAATGACATACATGGTGTTTCATATCGAGCATCTCCAAAAAGTCAATTTGAGAAAAGATATGTCTATAACATTTGTATCATAAGAACCTATTTTATTCTAGTCTAACACATTCATATCAACTAAACATGCTACAAATCAAACTACAAATGATATGTCTTTGACCTAGAATATATTTCCTAACGAATAGCCCACATTATGAAACACCTTGTATTTTAACTTACATGTATAAGTGTACGGTTTAACTTTCTCGTATGTGAGAAATCTCTCTATTAAATTCCTCACTTCTTATAAACCCTACAAGGCTCTTTGAATGGCTTACCTTTGCAAGTTTCAATGTTGCCTTAAAGATTGATTGGGGCTGTCCACTGAATTTCGCAGCAAATGGAGCAATCTGGATCTGCAAAGAGTAGAACTTTTTCTCACTATTCATCCAAAATCAAAAAAAATCATTGCCAAATAGTCACTGTACTATAGTTTAGAATTACCTACGGGCCTACGATACGGGCTTTTTAATTGGCTTTCACTTATTAAATATCATATATACTGACTGTAATCTGAATGTAATAAAAAGTGATCGCACAATTCTTCTTGATACATATAGTATAATAATATAAACATTATAGAATCACAAACTTGCTGTGTGATTAGCCATGACAAATCCAGGATACAAATGATGGAACACATCATTCAGAATATATTGTATATTGTAAAATGAAAAGCAATGATTTCATGTGTTAATTAATAAACTTACAAATGATTTAAAGTCCTTCCCTTGTCTACTTCCGAGATAATCCACAAACTTGTTTCCGAGTTTTGGACACAGATCCTTGATGTACAGCTGGAAATCAAATTAGGTTTTAACGTATATGGAAATCTGAATGGAAGGTCCGAATAAGTAGAACATGTTTTTCATTGTTCATTGTTTTAACTGTTTCACATATCAATACTTATATCAATTTCTACACTTCATAAATTATGGCTACATCATCATTTCAACCTTTCAAAATAACTTTTAAAATACTAGGCCTAGTACTAAGTTTTGCAACATTTGGGCATATATGACCTCTAAGTTTCCTCCTTTTGGGTGGTAGAATCATTTTTGCTAGAACATGCATATCTCATTTTGCCCAACAGTGTATACAACAATGAGTAACAGTCATTTCATATATTTTATATATCATTTTTATCTTAAATACATAGACCTTTACTAGGTCTATAGTTTGCACTCTGATAATTGTGTTGCTTAAATTACCTGAAGTAATGACTTTCTGTCATTTTTACTCATCACAGATAGCAGTTGCTTTGTGACTCCAAGGTGGATAACATGCAATATGCCAGTTGGTATGTTTCTGAAACAACAAACATACACCATTTTCATAGCATATCATACGCATTTGTCTCAACTATTGATTGTCTATTTCAATACACTGCTGCACATCCAATTTATATAATTATTTAACAAGCATGCTTACTCATGAGGGTCAAAACTAAGATTTAGTATTGGGTTTTCATCTCCTTTTATCCCCGTCACTGTTTGCAGTTTTTTCATTCCAGTTACAGTTTTCTCCAAGGCTATTCTGTTGAATAACAAAATAAACATTTCCATATGTCATTACTTTTTTAAAGCTGTTATAATGTTAGTTATCAGTTATTAAGTATCCCTGTGTCAATTCAAATCATTTTTGAAATGTATTCACATGAATTGTTAAATGTTTTAGTTTTTTGAATGTCTTAATTAATGTATAGGTTAGAATAAAGACAGATTAGATGTGAATATATTTATTGTAAAATATAAATACATTAGGCCTATCAAGAATGCTAATAGAATCATGGTCTTGATTAGGTTGATGTCAGCAGATTTTACATTGTACTCACTTCTTTCGTGTCTCCACTGTTTTTTCTTTATTACGCTTGGTCCCAACTGCAACTTCTCCCTTTGTAACCTTGATTAAGACAATCCGACTAATTTCATTCATTCTAAGTAAATTTTTGTCTTTATGTCAATGTTGAATGGCAATCACTTTTCATGTTCTTTCCCATGTCATGAAATTCAAATCAACTCTATTTAATCGCACCTATTGGTTTAACAAATAGTCACTACTTTTTGTTGTCTAATTGCTGGTTTTGATTTTTGTTTGGAAATTAAGAAAATCTTGCAGGTAGTAATTATCATTGCATGTTTTAGTAAAAAAATGCTTTAAAACGTTGACTTTAACCACCGTTAATAGACATACCTCACACTTAGGGCAAAATGAATTTGCAGCAGCACCTAAGTGGCTGCAGATGCTGCTCTGCATAGCCATGTCCGCAACAAAGGTGGCGAAGGTACTTTCCACAGTGACAGATTTTCCACCACTGTATCCTGGTATCCTATTCGAATTGAAAATCTTACAGTATGTGAAATATACACATTTTCAAATTAATTTGTTGATTTAATAATATGCTAGTATTCAAATGTCTGAAATCCATGAAGGAAAACACTCTACAACAATGTAACACAGATAAATAAGGTTTTGTTTAGTCTGCCGCCCCTACACTGTACCTAGGTGGATTTCCACCTCCTACTTTAAAAAGAAAGTACATGAGGAATAAAAACATACATCATAGTTTTTGCTTGAAATCAATGAAACATTGACAAAGTACATACAAAGTATACAACAATAGATTTTGTCAATGCACATTGCCGATGGTTAGGCGTGATATTGCGATCTGTATTATTTTTAATCAATTACCTTCCCATAGTCTGCATGTCTTTTATCACTGCATGCCCCAGTGTAATTGCATTTACTTCCGTCGAAACGGAGCAGACGTTCACAAAGAAGTGGTTGTCTGCCATTGCTATAAATAAGATCACAAATAAGATTATATTTAGAATAAATAGAATGAACTACTTAGCTTCACTTTCAAAAGCATACAAGCCAGGGTGTAATCATGAAGTACCTTTATTACAATGCAGTCGGGAGGCACCCGGACAACTGGGCGGACCCAATTGAGTCAAATCTTAAGTCAGATTTGAACTTCTGAGAACTTCTGTGATTTTGAAAAAATTGAAGTAAGTCTTAAACAGTATTTGTTAAGTTAGCCTATTGGAAGTTGCAAGAATTTAAAATACTTTTAAAAAAGTTTTATTTACCAATGGGTAAAAGCTGACACACACTCATTGGAGACCACCGTCTACTTTTGTTAGTGGACATATCGTCCAAAAAAACCAATTGCTTGACGATGAGATGGTCATCGACTGATTGAACTCCACATTCTGGATGAGCAACTGCCAGTTTTGAGAGGATTGTAGGCCGGATAAAGAAGAATGGCCTGTTGTTGTGTGTCTCCTAAATCAAATGTCATAGGTCCCGTGATAAATTCGAATTTATTGTTATCAAAATATCAATTAAACATCATACTTAAGATAATTGTTCATAATCACTGCTCATATTTAATCAAGATCATACTGTTTCAATCATTAAATTCAATTATCATTCATATTGAAGTTTGGGTGAGAACATACTGCTTACTTGTTTTACCGCAGTGGACGTCTCTAGTCCCTCTAAGTCAAATTGTTTTAGGGAATCAAGTGTTGGGATGAATTCCGCTGCAGTGCTGAATTTTTTTAACATCTTTATGATGTATTTCATTACTGCATCTGACTGGAAAAAGAAATGAAAAAATAATAAATCTGGTGTGCTGAAATGTTTGTGTCATTTTAGTCAAAATATAAGTCACCAAACAGCCTTATCCAAATTACCCTCTCTGTGATTGGCAATAATCAACATTGTGATTGGTAATACTCTACTTTGTGATTTGCAATTATCTGTATTGTGATTTGCAATGTTCTACTTTGTGATTTGCAATTTTCTATACTGTGATTTGAAATATTCTATATTGTGATTTGCAATGTTCTACTTTGTGATTTGCAATGTTCTACTTTGTGATTTGCAATATTCCACATTTCGATTTGCAATATCCTGTATTGTGATTTACAATATTCTATTTTGTGATTTGCAATATTATACATTGTGATTTGAAATATTCTATATTGTGATTTGAAATATTCTATATTGTGATTTGCAATGTTCTACTTTGTGATTTGCAATATTCTATGTTTCGATTTGCAATATTCTGTATTGTGATTTGCAATATTCTATATTGTGATTTGCAATATTATACATTGTGATTTGCAATATTTTATATTATTATTATTAGATTTATTTCCCCTCCATTGATTGGAGATAATATAATAATTATATATTACAGAAATATTAAAACTTGTTTCAAAATTTAAGTTACAATAGAAAAGATAGAGCTCTTCTAACTCAAATAATAATTATATATAAGCTCTTAGAGCTGACATGTATGGTACACAGGGAAACTCGTAGCTTGGATCCGCAGACCAATTTGACAACACACTTGTATTCATATTTGACGTTTTTCAGTTTACTGACGTTCCATCGATCACACGGTGTTCAATCACACACTCAAGTAGGGGGACAATCAACGGGAAAGTTCATATATATCTATGAGTCTATACTAATCCCATGCTGTTCCTACATATTGACTTTAATCCTGGCGAGATACATGTTCTGTATAATCGTGCTTACACGTTTAAGTCCACTTTCATTAATACACTGGTCTCCCCCAAAGAGAGCTCGCAGTTTCATATCATTTGACATTGCACTAATGTTTGGTATTCCATCTAAAATCGAACTTAATGTAACCCTATTGTGGAGCCGACATTTTAAAACAAAGTGTTCGAGCGTTTCAATCTCTTCATTGCAGCTTTCGCAGAATCTATCTCTCATCGGTATTCCTTCCCACTCGCCTGTGTTTACCCTTAAACGGCCTTGTCCTACCATTAGTCGCATCATTAAGTTACATCTCTTTATGAATCTTGAATCTTTCCTGGCTATTATCCACCATATACATGGTTTCACATTGTGGATAACTTCCTTATAGAGAATTAGTTCCTTATAAGTATTAACCTCGCGTCTCCAACCATCCAAATCGCAATTCCGTACAATGTTCCGAACATAGCGTTTCCAGGTCAATTTCGATGGATTAGCACCATTGTCTAGGATTTGATACACCATGTCTGTTATTCCATAACGATTCACAAGCTCCATTATGTCTCGCAGCGGCGACAATCTGTTAAGTTTAGCACCATGCCTATACATGGTGATTCTCTTAATAGCAATACTGCGGTACACAGACCCGGTCATTAGAAACAGTAACTGCCACAAAAACATCAATTTGGCGATTATTATTGTTGAGGTAATCGTTTGCCAACCTAGCTGGGGTAGAACAGCTACATCGGGTGTGTGAACTGGCAGACCTTGCAGCTTTTTACAGATGCTACGGTGGCCTTGATCTAAGGCTCGATAGTCAGTCTCACTAAGAGCCACCAATTCCATGCCATATGTCATAGAGGGAATGCTGACGGACCAATACAGTGTTGAGGCTGTGAGTGGATTTGTAGCATTTTTCATGTGCGTTGTAGTACCAGCATATGCGTTCATAGCGCGCCTTCCCTTAGATAAAGCTGTATCAATCAGTTCCTTGTTGCTGTTATAGTTAGAGAGTGGGAGGCCAACGTGCTGCGTGGAATTGACAGTTTGGAGTTTTGTGTCACCAAAGAAAAGGTCCACTTTAAGATCCTGTGCCCTCCTGTTGCTAAACACAATCACTTTGCACTTGTCAGGGTGGAAGTTGAATCGCCACTGCAGGCTATAATCGTACATTAAGTTTAACACATCCTGTACAGACTTCTTGTGATATCCAATTATAACTGTATCGTCAGCATAAGAGGGACACGTACATATAACATCTCCTATAGAGCAACCCTTCGAGGACTGTATGATGTTTAACAGCAATCTGTTCATGTATTGCCCATACAGCTCCATCGAGTATAGGCCCCCCTGGTGGACACCCTGGGAGATGGAAAAGGGGGCAGAGAGCTTTATATCATTGCATCTTACCGCGCATTTGTAATCGTTATAACACAATCTCAATAGTCTCCACAATTTTCCATTGATTCCGATATTGTACATTTTAAACAATAAGCCATTGTGCCACACGGTGTCGAACGCCTTTCTAATATCAATAGCCACAGTAATTACATCCTCCCCATTCTCGAGGCCATGGCTTATTGCTTCCCTTGTTAGAAATGACGTGTGAAGGCATGACACCTGACTCTCATTTGCAGCTTGCATGTTACATCTAAGTTCGCTCCTTGGTGCACACCTACTCCTATTGATCATAAGCCTCTCTAGTAGCTTCATGAAGGTAGTCATGAGAGTGATCCCTCTATGATTGTCTTTATCCAAACTGTGATATTGTGATTTGCAATGTTCTATATTGTGATTTGCAATATTCTACATTTTGATTGGCAATACTCTACATTGTGATTTGCAATATTCTACATTGTAATTTGCAATATTCTGTAATGTGATTTTCTATATTCTAAATTGTGATTTGCAATGAATTACATTGTGATTTGCAATGATTTACATTGTGATTTGCAATGTTCTATATTGTGATTTGCAATATTCTACATTGTGATTTGCTATATTCTGCATCGTGATTTGCAATGTTCTACTTTGTGATTTGCAATGTTCTATATTGTGATTTGAAATATTCTATATTGTGATTTGCAATATTCTACATTATTAAAGAGTACAGCTCATTTCGAACACAGTGAGACATTACTTACTTTCCAGAGGGTACACGTTTTACATTGACTCCTGTATAAAATCCCCTCTCTGTACACCTACATACAGTGAACACTTTTTTTTGCTCCATAGGTGTTCACTATATACAAGTTTTAGTGTAGCTATTTAACCAGATAGCCTCATGGAATTTTAGAAATTCGAATCAAATGTGTGAAACGTGAAATTTTATGAGGTGTTCAGACTAGATAAGTTAATATTTTCAAGATTTTTTGAACATGGCAGTTAATGGGAGGAAAAATTGGGACTGAAAAGAGTGTTCGGATTGGGAGGTGTTTGGATTAGCCAGGTGTCCAGTTCAGATAAACAGGTTCTTCTGTACTCACTGGTGATCCACTCGATTACGCTGGTTACCAAAACGGTTTATTTTCAAAAAAGTTTATTCCTGTCTTAACATGTTACATAAAATCACATACAATTTGACACAAAGCGTATACAATATATTGTAGATCAAACACATGAACAAAACCACTCTTTGACATATCCCCACTGCTTCAAATCACTAGAGAGGAAAAAATCAGATAGCGCTCCATGGGATGAGTATAGAGTACCAAATAGTCTCCTTAGAAAGTTCCTTCTCTGTGTCAATGGCCTTCTTGGATTGGCACATTATGTCTGTCAATGTCAGTAATCTGCAAAAGGCTAATATGCCCATATAAAGCAGATATACAATTTAACAGTAATAGAATTTGAATAGAATATAATTTAAAACCTTAACATTTAAAAATAGATCTATGGTTTACAACTCATTTTAAAATTGAAAGGAAATCCCTGGTTGGCCCATGTTCATGTTGATATGGAACGGCTGTCATAATCCAAAGGGATTATTGCCATCCTGACAAGCTCAGGTTGCTTCTGTAGGTGTGTCAAACAGCGGTTGTGATGTGTTCAAAGTCAGAATTTACATTTTTAAATACACATTACAGGTTGGGCCAAAAAACTTCCACATTTTTGTATTTGTAATATCTTTGCTGATATGTTGAAAATATCCATAAATTGTATCAACAAAATGATGTATGATTAATTAAATATGAATGGCTATTGCTGACTCCTTGGTATTCTCCGTATCATAAGGAAGTAACACTCAAAAAACAAAATTCCCTTACATCTGGTGTTTTCGTCTATTTTTTGCATTTCCATGTGTGTAGGAACACTGTCTCATCACTCCATATACAGTATATATGACCTTGATGTTTCACCCTTGCAATCATCATATATAAATGCAGACAACGTTATTAAAACTGCCTTACAAATATAGACAACAATGTTAGTGGCGTGGATCTCAGATCTGGTCATTTTCTGCAGGACGAACGAAAACTGGTTGACTTCGATAGGTTTACTGATGTTCACTTTCTACATCTTTCTATGTCTCACATCAATTTAGACATTCCATTTTTTAATCTCCTGTGATATTTAAGACTGGAAAATTTCATTTTGGCAAACAAGTCCTGGTTTTTTTACTTGCAATTGCAAATCTGTCAACACTTATTTTTCTGGTCTATAACTCAATTATGTCAAACTATAACTTATTTCACTATGTTCAATATTTCACTACCTAGTACCTACCACAGCATGTGTCTTCGAATACATCATACAAAGCAGCATGAGATGGCCCTCAGATTTTAATGGCCAGTACCCGTTGTCCTCTGTCCACGATTGCTCTGTAAATAAAGTTGCAACTTGCTGATTCTTCATAATCTTTATTTATAAAACCAGGCTAAAGACCAAAATAAGTTTATAAAAAAAGAACACAAATGTGCACAACAAGGGTATACATTTTCTAGAAAATCAGTTCTAAAATAATTCCAAAAGTTTTCAGATCAATCCCAGAAATTGTTTACCTCAAAACATGTAGCTTAGACCTATTAAGACAGGAGTCTAGGAGATTGCAGGATTCCAAGATTGCAGAGTTAACATTTACCAAAAACTGATCAGTAATAAATGGGGACACTGGGTGTTTTATTTACCTTCAAGTGTATCCATGGCCACTGATATATTATCATCTTCATTCTCTTCTTCATCATAATATTCATCATCATCAGTGGAGAATTCTTGTATGGCCTGAAATTCCTGGAAAATATAAGCAAACTTAAAAGTAGAGCCATTCTGTTGGTACCTAGCTCAACCAAATAATGTAGTATTCAGAAACATAGTTTGACTTAGCCTGAAATAACAATATAAATATTTACATTAATGGAGATTGGAAAGTTTCTAAAAATAATATTTAACATTCCTTTTTTCTTTGTGGCATTTTCCCTTAATCCAGGCCACTATCCTTAAATATTATTTTAACTTTTAAAGACATTAAGGTATGACAGGGAATGATACTAAAATTGACAGAATTTTTTCAAAAATCCTCCCTTTAAGAGTTTGAATTACTTACATCATCATCATCATCATCACTATTCTCATCAATTGGTCTGGTTAACTCAATCTATGAAATAAACATAGCTGGAATTAATAATTGCATTTAATCATTGTTCTCTTCATCATTAATAAAATCTTCCATTTCCTTATTTTCTTATTCCAGGGGCTAACACAGTAGTCTTCCCCCTGCACTGTACTTCTTCACCTGACTTGACTTGACAACATTGGGTGGGTGAAGTTGGGGGTCTTATAAGCAAGACTACAAACAGAGTAGAACTAACCAAAATATATTTCATTTAGTGAGCAAATAATTAAGTGAAAATAAAAAGTTTTATCTGCTCCAGGATTTATAATGTCTGTGCTTCTAAATTGAAACATCCTTCAATGCAACACCAATTGGTCTTGCCTTTGATCATGTTAGAGCTCAAGTAATATGGACAACGCAATGTAATACTAGATAAAACTTACAATGTCATTTTGATGAGTCTCTGCTGCTATACTGCCTGGTGGTACGCCAGTGCCGACAGCATCAATATCCTTTCAACAACAAAAAGATTAGCCATATTAACTGAATACTGCAAAATCAAAAAGAAACAAAATCCTTTGAAAATGATTTTCAAATGCAACTTGATGTTTATATGGTTCATTGAATCATGTCCTATATGTTGAGGATGATACAGTATATTGCCCCATATATGCTTAATGCCAGAAGATTATATGCTAAACACTGTAGAATGTAGATTGCTACTACTGGGGTTGCTGGGGTAGGCTCTGCAAAGTATTTACTTCTGAGAATATATTTATTTTCAAATTTAATTTAAATTAAATATTTCCCTTTTTTCATGATGATACAGGTTCATGAACAAGTATGAACTTTTGTCCCAAGTTAACATATTTTTTGAGAGTATGCAAAAGAGAGAATTGTTTAAAATAGTCTTGCATCAAGTCTCTAGATCCATCCTGCAGACATTCACCTCTTGTGAAGGTGAGGTATGTAGGGTTGGAATGTTTTCTACATAACAAGAGCTTGAAGCAAGACTAACATGTTACACTGGGTTTCTTGATTGGTAACTTACACGTACCTCAACATCATGTATAGCACTGGTGCCGGTCATAACAAGGAGGTGTCTAGCACTAGCCAGATGCCTTCTCAGGTTGTACTCCTTGTGAGTAAGATAGGAGCAAACTTCACACCTGAAGTTCATGATTAACTGAAACAGATAAACTTTGAAATCAATAGCTAATCCATACCAGTGGATGGTGCCAAGTTTATTATATATATATAGATTCTAACTTTTAGGATCTGGTAGTATTTCCAGAAATGTGATTTCTGAAGTATGACAATGGTCGTTTCCCATGTTATTTACCTCACACACTCATGTTCCTTATCAAACATTTGTTATGGCATTGTTCCTATAGTCTATTAAAATATGGGGTGTTATTAACACATGCTATCTGTTGCAAGACTTATGCCTGACACAACCGACACTTTCATGTTATTAACATTTGCAAGTATCCTGCCATGACCGTGGTAGTGTTATTTTGAAAGCCTGGCACGACTGTCATCTTTATGTGACATTTATGACTTACATATATGCCAGGCCTTACAATATAATATAGCATTGTCACGGTTATACCAGGCATTGTCACAGTCATTGCAATATATATAACATTAGGCTACCATGCTCATGGCAGAATCCTTGCGAATGTTAAAGGATAACACTACCAGGGACACCGCAGGATCCTTGTGCACGTGAGGCATGGACGTTAGGCTAATAACATGGTGACTGTTGTGCCAGGCATAAGTCTTGCAACAGATAGGCCTAGGCTAGGGTCCTAGATCATTAAAATTTAAATGACTTCTTGGGCATGGGAGTTCACTATTGCTATATAGATCTAAAATGTATAGGCCTACATGTAGAAAAGTGTAAGCTAGGAGAGAAAAACTTGGACTCGAGTGAGGGGTTATGGTATTCAGATTGAGCCCGGGGAATGTGTAGAAACGATAAGCTAGTAGATCATTATCACTGTAGGCTACATTTGTACATTGCCTATGACAAAAATGATGAATTGAATTTGATTGAATTCAATGAAATTCATTTTCGAAAATACATAGGCTAGGAAATATCCATTGAATGATTGATCACAGAACACTTTGAAATGTGACATGTTGATGAGCTTTAGGTGCAATAGAGAAATAACTATACTACAGAAACATACAACCAATACATTGAATACAACGAAACTTACCAAATAATTTCAGATCTAAACATGCGCCATTTTGTACCACGAAGCCTAGTCACTGCTTAAAAAATAACTCGTGTGTTATATCAACGCATTTTATTGCCAGTACCATTAAATAGTGTGAAATAAAGAATAAACTTGAATAATATCAATAATAATAATAATAAAACGTATAAATAAATATGTGTTTATAGTTTTGTATGTGATTAATGATTTATCAACCTTTAGAGCGTAATAATTTATTCTAATTTATGACGTAACACGCGACTGCCGAACTACATACAATCGCGATTGGACGACACAGATTAATCCGTGAATACATGAATATATTATCTCCTAACCGCATGACAATGTCACAACAAACCCAAGTAAGTATGTTGTAGGCTATATATATATATGTACATATAGAGTTACTGAGGATCTATAATTGATAATTGCTGGACGTATTTAACTAAGAAATTAGGAATTTTAGATTTGGTGATCAGATGCAATCTTTCTGTCATAACATGGACTTCAAATAATAAAGAAATTTATAATACCTATAGGTAGAAAATAATGCCTACCTGTCAGTTCATCACTTGCCGAGAATATTCCAATGGACAATAGCCTAGGCCTAGATTAGACCACAATAAATGTCCTTTCACCATTATGACCTGAGGCCCAGATTATGACCATTTCCATGTCCTATCAAAATGTCCAAAAGACATATCATCGACCATGTCCCAACCATATCCTATCATCATATCATGTCCCAAACATGTCATATAGCATGTTTTATGTATCAAACATGTTCTATCACCATGTCCCAACCATATCATATTACCACATCCATGTCACATCACCATGTCCATGTCACATCACCATGTCCATGTTATATCACCATGTCCATGTCCTATCACCATATCCCAACTACGTCTTATCACCATGCCCATGTCATATCACCATGCCCCAACCATGTCATATCACCATGTCCTAACCATGTCCTATCACCATGCCAATGTCATATCACCATGTCCATGTTCTATCACCATGCCCATGTCATATCTCCATGTCCGAATTATGTCATATCAGCATGCCCATGTCATATCACCATGTCCTATTACCATGTCTCAACCATGTTCTATCACCATGCCAATGTTATATCAACATGTCCGAATTATGTCATATCAGCATGCCCATGTCATATCACCATGTCCTATTACCAAGTCCAAACCATGACCTATCACCATGCCCATGGCATATCACCATGTCATATCACCATGTCCTATCACCATGTCCTATCACCATGCCCATGTCATATCACCCTGTCCTAATTATGTTATATCACCATGTCCATGCCCATGTCCTATTACCATGTCTAAACTATGTCATTACCATGCCCATGTCCTACTACCATGTCAATGTCAAATCACCATGTCCCGACCATGTCATATCACCATGCAAATGTCATATCACCTTGTCCATGTCCTATCACCATGTCCATGACATATCATCATGCCCCAACCATGTCATATCACCATGCCCATGTCATATCACCATGTCCCAACCATGTCATATCACCATGCCCCAACCATGTCCTATCACCATGCCCCAACCATGTCCTATCACCATGTCCCAACCATGTCCTATCACCATGTCCCTACCATGTCATATCACCATGCCCCAACCATGTCCTATCACCATGTCCCAACCATGTCATATCACCATGTCCCAACCATGTCCTATAGCCATGCCCATGTCCTATCACCATGTCATATAACAATGTCCATGTCCTATTACCATGTCCCAACCATGTCATATCACCATGCCCCAACCATGTCCTATCACCATGTCCCAACCATGTCATATCACCATGTCCCAACCATGTCCTATAGCCATGCCCCAACCATGTCCTATCACCATGTCCCAACCATGTCATATCACCATACCCCAACCATGTCATATCACCATGACCATGTCCTATTACCATGTCCCAACCATGTCATATCAGCATGCCCATGTCATATCACCATGTCCTATGTGTACCAAGTCCAAACCATGTCCTATCACCATGCCCATGGCATATCACCATGTCCCAACCATGTCCTATCACCATGCCCATGTCCTATTAACATGTCCCAACCATGTTCTATCATCATATCCATGTCATATCACCATGCCCCAACCATGTCCTATCACCATGTCCCAACCATGTCATATCACCATGTCCTATAGCCATGCCCCAACCATGTCCTATCACCATGTCCCAACCATGTCATATCACCATACCCCAACCATGTCATATCACCATGACCATGTCCTATTACCATGTCCCAACCATGTCATATCAGCATGCCCATGTCATATCACCATGTCCTATGTGTACCAAGTCCAAACCATGTCCTATCACCATGCCCATGGCATATCACCATGTCCCAACCATCTCCTATCACCATGTCCCAAACACGTCCTATCACCATGCCCATGTCATATCACCATGTCCCAACCATGTCCTATAGCCATGCCCATGTAATATCACCATGTCCTATTAACATGTCCCAACCATGTCCTATCACCATGCCCATGTCCTATTAACATGTCCCAACCTTGTCCTATCATCATGCCCATGTCATATCACCATGTCCCAACCATGTCCTATCACCATGTCCCAACCATGTCATATCACCATGTCCCAACCATGTCCTATCACCATGCCCATGACATATCACCATGTCCTATTACCATGTCCCAACCATGTTCTATCACCATGCCAATGTCATATCAACATGTCCGAATTATGTCATATCAGCATACCCATGTCATATCACCATGTCCTATTACCAACTCCAAACCATGTCATATCACCATGCCATGGCATATCACCATGTCCCAACCATGTCCTATCACCATGCCCATGTCCTATTAACATGTCCCAACCATTTTCTATCATCATATCCATGTCATATCACCATGTCCTATCACCATGCCCATGTCATATCACCCTATCCCAATTATGTTATATCACCATGTCCATGCCCATGTCCTATTACCATGTCTAAACTATGTCATTCACCATACCCATGTCCTACTACCATGTCAATGTCAAATCA